TTTAAATGTGATTATTACTAAAAAATAAGAAAATTCGGTAACAGACAGTCAGGATGGAATTCAGTTCAACATTAAGATACCTGATTGTGAGCTCTAAAGGCTCTTTCGTTTATTACACGAGCTCTGCTGACTGTAATAGGAACATCCACACCTATATAGCAGAATTTCAGTGCCATCAGGCCCAAATGTTGTCCTTTCTCTTCTTTCATTCTCTAAGCAAAGACTGAACTATGTATGGATCCCGCTTTGACCAAACCATGAACTTTAATCAGAGTCATATCCACTGCCACTTCAGTGGTTGTGAGGACCTTTTCCAAATAAGATTGCCAGGGATATTCAAACAGGGGAAGGAGGGAAAATGGAAAAGTTTTAGAGGATTAGCTACAGGATTACCTGGGTATTTCCATTCTAATTATTTAGGACCACATAGATTGGTAAACTTCCGGGGTCTATATCAGTCCTCCTCTTACAAAAATGGATATTCTGAGGCCTTCAGCTACTGGACCTCAGCTGATGTTCTTGTTCTTGCCATTTGTTTTGGGCTTCACTCAGATGATCTGAAGTCTTACAGGGGTTAAGGTCACACGTCTAATGGACATTTAAAATACAAAGCACTCAATCAGACACAAGTATTACTGTGCTGAACTATGCTGAAAGCGCAGAGTATAAAACCCTCAAAAGCAACATTGCTCCATGTTGACATACTCTAAAATTAAGGATGGCATTCATCCTATGTGAGGGAACTTCATGTGTACACTGGAGATTATGTGGCACACAAAAATCTAACGCTGTCTTGCAAATTACAGATAAACCCAGCAGAGGAGCATCCATTCTTGGCAGAGGGTGGGGGGTTTCTACTGAGTCCCTTTAAACATTAAAGATGCCTTATCATTTGCATAATATTCGGAGGCAGTTCCAAGAACCGTCTTGCCTATCACCCTACCCTGGTTTTGGTATTGCCTTAAGGGGGGGGGGGGAGAGAGAGAGAGAGAGAGAGAGAGAGAGAGAAGCATTTGCAGCACATAACTAAAATGCTCAGACAATGGTAAACCTCATGAACATCCCAATACTGTTTATCACTTTCTGCCTCTTCTCAGCTACTTGACAAGAAAGAATTTACTGTCTTTGAAGTTCATGGATGGAGATTTGGCCACTAATATAGCTAAACATGGCAGCTTGGCTATGGCAGATTTAAAGAAGACACAAAATGTGTTCAACACACATCACATATTTATGCATATTTGTGTAATTTAACAGAAGAATAGTGGGAACACTGAGCATATGGGAAAGAAAAAGAATGTGGGAGACATTACCCATCAGTGTGTTCATATAAGCAAATATCCATTAAATTAGACAGAATGTGACAATGTGACAGAATTCAGAATAAGGAGGAGTCACAACTGCTTATGCATAATCTCCAAGTAGACAACAGCGCAAAAGATACTTTAAAAGTGTCTTTTAATTAAACGTTAAAACTGAATGAACTGGGATACTTAAGAAAGGAATTTCAAGAGCAGTGATGTCTGTTTCAAAGAGCAAAGTCATATAGTTCGAGTGGCAAAATTCTAATTATATCTGCAAACCTTCCTCATCCACCTTTGGAGAAAAAATAGTTTTGAAAGGTGAAAGCATACTGAACAGATTAAAAAACACCTCAACAACCCCCAAAACAATATGAACAACATTATAGGGTCTCTAGAATGAAGTAAAGAACACAACTACAGACAGTATAACAAACATAACCTTCATCACCAGCTCCTTCACCACAACATAGCAGAAAAGTTGGTCATCAGACTTGGTTTAATGAAAAAAGATGGTTCCCAGGGGAAAAGAAAAAAAAATATTAACATGAAAATGAAAACACAGCTGCACTTGGAACAATTAAAAAACCACAAAGTAAAAATCAGCTACAGGAGCTTGATAAGTGACTTCGTGGCAGCTTTTGGGGGCAGGGGAAGAAGAAGAAAAAGGTGGAAACTGTTTGCGGTCAGGTCAACTAAAGTTCCAGGGTTATTTTTCTTTGGTTTGCACTGGTTGAAATACTACAGAAAGTAGATGAAAGGAGAAACAATGTTTAAATCTATAATCACGCATTGCAAAATTAATGATCAAAGGACAGCATAGAATAAAAATGATGTAAAATAAGTTTAGTTGGACAAAGTAATTGCTGAGTCTTCAGAGAGTCTGTTATTTCTCATCCTGCTAAAGCAACAGATCAGAGTATTTCTAGGATTGAAAAGGTCTCCCTGCTTCAAGAAAAAGTCTTTTGATCAGGCAGTTTTTGATGGGGCAAATTTTAAGGGACTCTTATTGAACAAGTTTCCGTTGATACACCTCCTTGGCAATGAGAAACAAAAGTCAGTTTAGTTTATGCAAAAGTTGGTTCACTGGTGATCTATGCTGCGGCTTGGCAAATCTTATCTTTGCAATAGTGAAAAGGTTTCTAACAATAGAGTCCTTCCCATTGTACTGTTTTCTCATAAATCTTCCTCATTTTACTTCTTTTAGCTCATTTCTAAGAGTTTGGAAAGTCCTTCAAGTCCTGCAGCACTATTGTGCAATCAGCTAAAGCCAAAATAATTTCCTAAGTGGACCTAAAGTACAGCTTTCTCCCTCAGGCCAGAAAAAGGAACCAGGAATATCTTAATTATTTACTTGCTGTATATATGACTTCCCAGCAGTTAAATCACGAGCTTTAAGAGGCTTACGTTGTATTTTCTGTCTGTTGGGGGGGGAGGGGGGGGGGCATTTTAAATTTTTTTAAATTTATA